TTTTTTGGTAAAGTCTTTTGATGAACAAAGTTTTTTAATTTCTAGAAGGTCCCATTTATTTGTCTTTTGATGTTTGTGCTTTTGTTATTATATTAGATAATCCATTGTTAAAACTAGGCCCAACAGCATTTCCCCTGCATTTTCTTCAAAGAATTTTATGGTTTTAGTTCGCACATTTAGGTTTTTAATCTGTTTTGAATTTGTTTTTGTGTGTGGTGTGAGGCATGGATCCTGTTTCATTTTTCTGCATGTGGAAATCCAATTTTCCCAACACTATTTATTGAAGAGACTCTTCTTTCCTCATCAAATGGACTTGGTACTCTCGTCAAAGATCAGTTGACTGTAGATGTGTGGGTTTATTTCTGGACTCTCAATACGATTTCATTCGTCTACGTGTCTATTGTTATACCAGTACCAGGATGTTTTGATTACTGTAGCTGTATGATATGTTTTAAAACCAGTTAAGTGTGAGTCCTCCTACTTTGTTCTTCTCTTTTAACATTGCTTTAGCTATTTGGAGCCTCTTGCCATTCCATATAAAATTGAGGATTGGTTTTTCCATTCCTGCAAAGACGACTGTTGGAATTTTGATCCAGATTGTGTTGAATTTATAGATCGCGTTGGGTAGTATAAAATCTTAACAATATTAATTCTTCCAATCCATGAACACAGAATATCTTTCCATTTATTTAAGTCTTTTTTCATCTCTTTCAGCAATGTTTTATAATTTTCCTTGTATAAGTCTTTCACATTCCTGGTTAAATTTATTCCTAGGTATGAGCAAGGCTCTTTCTGGGCCTGTTTCCCCATCTGTAGAATGAGAATGTGAACCCAGCCCTGGGCACAGACGACTTTAGAAGTCTCTTTCTGTTCTTTAGAGTAGACAGAGTCCACAGCTCTCCCCTACTTTGCTTTTAGGTCATTTCCTGAAAGATCCTTATCAGCTATGATCCCTTTGGGGTTAAAGAGTCTATCCTATCAACTCAGGAGGGAAAGGTAGATAATAAAGGAGAGAGAGGCTCTTCAAGCCCATGGATTCCCTCAGAATAAAAATCTAGCACTCTCTCCCTCTCTTCTCTTCCCATAGCACCACTGCCTTAGATAAAGCCCTCATCACCTCTAGCTTAGCATGACATTTAAGGCCTTTATATTCTAAGTCCTTCCCTCCACCCTCCTCAATGTTCCAGAAACTGTCATGCTTTTTCCTATCCTCAGGCTTCTCCTTCCATCCTCTCTTGCCTTTTCTACCTGGGAAAATTCAACTCGATCCTTCAAGAACCAGCTCAGATGTCTTCCTCCCCGTGAAAGTATCTCTAGTTCACCCCTACTCCTCTCCAGCAGAATTAATTACTCCTTCCTCTACACTCTGATAATCCCCCTGCCATTATAGTATTTGTTAGTCAGGTTTGTGATTATTTCAGTATGGGTTTCCCCCTGGGAGTATGAACTCCTCAAGCGAAGGCGCCCTCACTCATTTATGTTGCATGACACACGGCAGATACAATAAATTGATTGAAAGAGTGAATGAGCAAAAGGATGGATGGATGGATGGTGGGTGGATGATGGGTGAATGGGTTGATAGATGGATTAATGGATGAATAAAGATTTACCTTGCACTGCTCTATGATTCCATTGGGATCACACCCTTTCTTGGTAAGGATGAAAGACTCAGGGCAGAACACGCTGTAATATGTACTGCAACCCCCTTCTCCTCCCTTCATCCCTGCTGTATTCCATTCCATCACTGAACAAATACATATCAAGCACCTGCCCTGTGTGGGACTGTGCTAGGCCCTCAGGACAGTCATCAAAGAACACTGGGAGACCGGGGCAGGGCTAGTAGTATGAGGTGCTTTGCATGCCTAGGTCACTCTTGTTCTGCAAGTCTCAATACAAACATTTTGTCTGAGTGGGCTTCCTTGAACATTTAGGTAGGGCATATTTCCACCCCCCACCCCATTTCTCTTCTCACATTACTCTCTTGACTTGCTCGTAGCATTTATTGAAATCCAAAATTAACATTGTTTTTAATTTATCATCTGTCTTCTCCCATTCAAATGTCAGCTCCATTAGGGCAGGAACTATGTCCTTCTGTTTACTTCTGTGTAGTTAATATATTAATAATATATTATGATACATATCTTTTTCACTTCCTAATTCTCTCTTCAGTTGTGTCCAGTCTGATGCTAAACATATCCACTGAGTTCTTAATTTCTATTTTTTGGTTCTAGAATTTTCCTTTGGTTTCTTTCTGTAATTTTCAGTTCTCTGCCAAAATTCTCAATCTTGTCTTATATGTCTTTGAAAATATTAAGTGTAGTTATTTTAAAGTTTGGTAATTCCATATCTGGATACTCTATGGGACTGTTTCTGTTATCTGTTGCTCCTCTCTGAGGGAGTTGCCTGAGGCGGGTGGCTTCTGAGGAAGTCTTGAAGAATGAATAATCATTTGCCAGGTGAAAAACTGGGAGAAGGGCTTTCCTTGAAGAAATAACATGATGTGCAAAGAGCCTGGTGCAGCTGGGGAGCTTGGAAATGGATGTGGCTAAGGGCTGGGCTGTGGTATGTATGGGGCCGGGAGGGATGGTTGTGGAACCTTTGGGAGTGTGGCTGAAGACTGGGAAGTAGTGTGCATGGGGCAGGGGATGGTTGTGGAACCTAAGACATGAGGCAGGAGAGGAAGGTAGGGGCTTTGAATGTTACACTTAGGAGTCTGGTCTTGATCCTTGGGGAGATCTGTAGGGGATGGAGGTGTGGATCAAGATTTTCCATCCTCCTAGTTAAAGTTCAGAAATCAGGTTTGGAGATAGTACACAGTGAGACACAGGAATCAGGAGATCTAGGTCCTAGCCCTAGCTCTGCCATTAACCTGATCTTCTAGGGCCCTCAGTTTTCATATTTGTAAAATGGGGATTTCTCAGGGCTCTTTAAAGCTTTGTGACCAGGGTTCTGTCCATTCAGGTATTGTCAAGACAGAATGAAACTGTTCAGAGGGCAGGAGAGGAAAAGGCTTGAAGTCCCTACTTTCTCAGGTACTGACAGGCTCCAGACATCTCTCCATGCCTCAAGTCCTGAAGACTCTTAAAAAACCTTCCAGCACCCCCAAGGCCCCACCACCAGAAGCTCAGCTGCACACCACAGCAGAGCCTCAGGATGTGGAGATGAATCTTCTGAGCTTTGTAAGCAAATTTTTACAAATATGAACCTGGCACTTAAGAATCCTCCTGTGCATCCCCAGCATGGAGAAACTGCAGCACACCTGTCCCCTGAGCTCATCCCAGTGAGCTGCCTTTTTGTAAGGAGAGATGATTGTCCAGCGTGAAGGAGCCAGCTTCATCCGGGTAATCTTGGATTTCAACGTGGGCCTCCTGTTTCCTGGGCCAGATCCTTTGGCAGGCCTCTGGCAGCTTCTCTGGCTCTCATGAACCCCCAGAATCATTCACCCCAACAGGTGCACCAAAGCAGCCAAGAACTTGAGTCAGAGGTCAGGAGAGACCTCTGGGTGAAGGAGCAGATGGGGACGAAGAGTGATGGGTAGCTGGCTCCTCCCACTTCCCTCCCTAACCTTCCCTCCCAGGTCCCCAAGGCTCCTGCCTCTATCTCTTCAGGCTTTCTCTCGTCAGTCTGGAGTCTCAGGTTTTTTTCCTTTTGAGCTGGTCTCAGTCAGGGGCTAGAGACCCTTAACGGCCCACTCAGGTTTTTTCCCAGGCTTGTAACACAAAGCCCATAACCATAGAAGGGAAGTGGGGTGGGGGAATCCCCCCTTACTACCTGGCATGCAAATGAGGTTCAAATAGACTACAGAAGGGATAGTGGGTGAGGCAGAAACTGGCTGCAGAGTCAACCTCTGGGTCTTCTGGGAGCCTGGGTGGGGGGCAGAGAATCAAGACTTAATCAGTGAATTCTAGGGCAGCCCCAGAAATTACATACATGCCTGTGGCTTCAGACAGACCTGGATTCAAGTTCAAATGAGATTAGCTCCACTGTTTACTACTTTGAGCAAGTCACTTAACCTCTAAGCCTCAGTTTCTTCATCAGGAAGATGGGTATAATTATAAAACCTACTGCACATCCTCAGTGAGTGAATAAAGTGAGAGAAGGTATAAAGGACAGAGCACCATTCAATCAGCTTTATGATTCCTCTCACCGCCCCACCCCAAGTTGAGACTTCACAACCCCTTTCCCACCCCAAATCCCCTTCTACTACAGTCTAGCCACCTGCCTGTCCCTCCACGAGTGCCCCTCCCATCCATCCTAAATTGACACCAACTGCCCACCTGTTATTTTCATTACCCAAATCACAAATCACTAGGCCTTAAGAAACTTCAGAAACAATCCCCTTCAGTCTTCTCACTTGAAATGGGGAAACTGAGGCCCAAGAGAACGAGGGGCTTGCCCAAGGGAAGGCTGTGATTTGTGCTAGAAGCCAGGTTTTCTGACTCCTAATCCAGTGCTCTGTCGTTTTCACAGAAATCTACCCCCCGCTTCTAATGTTCCCGAGCCTTCATTCCAACCTTGTCTTGAAACCGAAATCTATCCCCAATAATTTCTCCTTCAGCAACTATCTCCTGCCCCAATCTACTTTTTTTTTTTTTTTTAAATCTATAGAATATTGGCTATGTGTCAGCACTTTTAAATGGGTTATTGCACTTAATCCTCTGGCAGCTGTTTTGTTAGAGGCTCAGAGAGGTACACTTTCTGGCCCCTGGTCTTAGAGTTGGCAGATGATTGAATGATGAGTCAATCCCCAGGGTCCATAACTCCATGCCTAGGGCCCTAGTCACTGGCCCACAGTTGCCCCCTTGGTTTGCCCACCTCCCACCCCCTGGGATCCAGCTCGTTCCTTATCCTGAACCTATCATCTGCCAGGGCTTTAGGGCCCAGGGGCAGGTATGATGAACTCCCAGGTCTGTAGAAAGAAAGCAGTCCCCACCCCTCAACTGACCCTCCTTCCTCTTCCACAACCCCGCCTCCTCCACTTCCTAGTTCAAAAGCAGCCAAGCTGAAACAGGTGTACAAACAGCCCTGCACTCATCTCCACAAGCTACTAGGCAAGAGAGCCTCCAAGATCCTCTGAAGATGAAGGGCTTCTTCTTCCTCCTACTCACCACCAGCATTCTGCTCATGATTCAGGTAAGAGCAGCCCTTCAGACCCCCTGGCGCCACCACCCAGAACCCACCACCCAGAACTCCCCAGACCTGTCTGGGACAGCAGGAAAGAAATGCAGGCTTCTGGGGATCTAGCCTTCTGCCATGGGAGCAGAGGCAGACAGGCCCCAGCAGGGAAACCACGGACTCAGGCAGCCTCGTTGCCCGGCCTGCCAGCCCTCTGGCTGGAATCAGATTGCTTAGCGCTGCCTCTGAACAAAAGCTGGGTAGTTGAGGCTGGGGAGCACTTACAGGGTGCAAGGTATGCTGGGGTAACTGAGGGGTATTGTGGAATGGTAGGGAATTAAGAGGGTTCGTAAGACAGTCCTCAATGAGGATGGCATCAACCTACAGGGAGCCTGGGAAAACAGTCCTGTGGAGGGGAGGGGACATGAAATTGACAAGCTGCTCTGGTTCTGGAGATGGTAAGGGACCCCACAGGGGAGAGAAGCCTGGGTGTTTGGGGAATGCAAAGAAGAGAGAAAACTCATTCCAGAAACAACTGGATCTCAAAATCAGCTGCTCTTCTGGGAGGCGGTTTTGGCAGCATCCCATGTGCCCAGAGGGGACTAGTCAGTGTAGGAGACAGGAGCTATCAAGTTCTTGATCAAGACCAGCTTGATCAAGCATCAAGCTCAGTTTTGATTACTATCAAAAACAGCTTCATCTCCATCAAGAACAGCTTGATCAAGCATCAATCTCAGTCTGATTGTCATCAAAAACAGCTTACTCTCCATTAAGAACAATTTGATCAAGCATTAAGAACAGCTTGATCACCATCTGGCCATCTCTTCATGGAGGAAGTTCCACCTTCCCCACCCACTCACCCACCTACCCACTCATCCACCCTTCCCCAAGTGCCTTCTCACTCAGTCCTGTCTCATGTGACTCTCACAACTGTGAAGGACTCTTCTCCCTATTCAGAAGACAAGGAAACTGAGACTCAGAGAGGTTCCGTGCCTTGCCCATGTAGTAAGGTCAGGGGCTGTGGGCACAGCTGCTGGGTCTGACTTCCTGCAGAACACCGGTTACAAGCCCTCCTGTATCCTTCAACACTGAAGGAGCTGGTGGCCTAGAGAGATGAAATAAAGGTTTGGAGGGCGGGGGGTGCTGAGCCAGGGACCACCTCTGTTGCTGCCTGTGCCAAGGCAGGAAGCAGCCAAGGGGGCGTGCCAGGATCTTGTGGCAGAGGTAGTGGTCATATGCAAAAGAGAACTGAGCACTATTTTACTGGGGGAGGGAGGACTGTATCTTCAAATAACAAACACGAGATTCAAAAGCCCCCTGAGTGCCCCTGACGTCTCCTCCTGCAGGTGCAAGCAGCGTCCACAAACCACACCACCAGGAGAACCCCCACGAAGAGTGGCACCCCTGCGCTCAGCGGCCTGGGCAGTGGCAGTGCCCTCCTCCTCCTGACCAGCACCCTCATCCACCTCTTCCACTTCAGCTGAGATGACATGCCTCAGCCCATGCCCCTGAAACAGCCACCATGACTAGCAAGGTCTCCTTTTCCTCTAATCCTTGGGGAGCATTGATGCCAGAGATCACCAGGTTTCGGGAATCGACAGGGCAGTGTCTTGGGGGCAATGGTTAAAACAGGGAAGTCCTGGTGTGGAGGGGCAAGTGCCTTACAACTGCGGATCAATACAGTTATCTCTGTACTTGGAGTGGGGTCCTATGTGTGGTCACTGGACAGCACAGGGCCCTAGGAGCCAAGTTTGTAGTCGCGGCCCCCATCAGCTGGAGGGGTGGCACCAGGGAGTTGCCACTCCAGCTTCCCTACCCAAAAATTCCAAATGCTGAGGGCTCTTGCCCTTGGAATCACCTTGCAGGGACAAGGTCCAGACCTGTCATCCCTTTTTAGTTGCATTTGCTTCACCCGCCCCTTGGTGTCTGGGAATGATGGTCCCAGAGGACACCCCTGCCCCCGACCTAGACCCTGGATATCCCCAGTTACAGAGGCTCAGAGAGCCCCTCAGTCCTGTGAGACCTGGCACAGAGCAGGCTCTTAGAACACATCATTTGGGGTGACTGCATAAAGGGCCACACTCACCAGTTTGTCCGGTCCCAGGGCTCCCTCTGGTGGCAGAGGGAGGCCTTGCATCCGAGCCCTGGAACTGGAGCAGGGAGGGGAGAAGCCAGCCTGAGTGTTGGAGAAGATGGCAGGTGGACAAAGTGCTCTCCTTGGCCCCCACCCCACCTCCCAAATGTCAAGATGCACAGAGACGAGGGTACCTGGGAGTATATTAGAAAACAGCTTACATTACAACAACAAAACCTGTGAAAACATTTCATCCCAGCAACACCCTCCAGGGCTCCAGGAAGGGACGAGGGAGGGGAGGGGGGCTCAAAGCACGTGGATGGTCCAGATCTGGGAGGCCCTGTCCTTGGCTGGCTCCCACAGCACCACGTGGTCCCGGTCGTAGCCCTGGCCTCCTGGGAGAGGAGGGCGGTGAGAGACAGTTAGGGACAGGTGGGGACTCCACTGCCCTCAGCCCTCTCAGGTGCCCTCTCTCCCCATACACATCACACCTTACCCTTCACATCCAGGATCCGTTCTTCAAACATCTGGCTGCAGATGTGGCCCGATTCCTTGATGCTCCATGTCTGGCGGGGCAGGCGGCTCTGAGCCCACAGCACCACCTTGGAGCCCAGGCTGGGGGGCCCAATCACCTGCAGACTCATGGTGGGGGCCACCTGAGGCCCCAGGAGGTCATCAAGCACTGTTCTTTCCCACAGGGACTCCACAAAACCCAAGATGCCCTCAACACACCCAGGCTTGAATCCTGGCTCTTATGGACTGTGTGACCTCGGGCAAATATCTTAATCCTTCTGAGTTTTGGCTTCCTTGGGGATGGGAAGCTGGTTGTTGTAAGGGTTCAAAATGAGAATCATAAAAGGGCTGGGAAAATATTAACTCCTCCAGGAAGCCTTCCATGACTGACTCCCAAAGCACAGGCTTTAGTATCAGATAAGCCTCTGATCCCAGCACCACTTATTAGCTGTGACTTTCAGCAAATTACTTAACCTCTCTGTGCTTTGGTTTCCTCAGCTGTAAAATGGGGAGTGTAATAGGACCTGCCCCATAGTGCTCCATTAGGATTATACAAGGCGTTCATGTGAAGGGCTTAATACAGTGCCTGACACATGGCAAGTGTTCCCTCTCATTCTAAGTAAAAGACGAAACCCTTTCAGTGGCCTACAGAGGCCTGCACCCTTCATCTGACCTCATCTCCTGCTACTATCTCCCTCATCCACTTCGCTCCAGCCACGCAGATGGCCTCGCTTAGTCCTAGAGCTTGCCAGGCATGTTCCTACCTCAGGGCCTTTGCACTGGCTGTTCCCCCTGCCTGCAACACTCTTCCCTCAGGTATCTGCATGGCTGCCTTGAAATGACAGCTTCTCAGGAGGGGCTTCCCTGACCACGCTATTTACAATTTCCAGCTCCTTGACAGTCCCTATTCTCCTTTCTTGATTTGTTTTTCCTCTATAGCACTTTAGCCCTGGTGGCGCAGTGGTTAAGAGCTTGACTGCTAACCAAAAGGTCGGCAGTTCAAATCCACCAGCCGCTCCTTGGAAACTCTATGGGGCAGTTCTACTCTGTCCTATCGGGTCGCTACGAGTCGGAATCGACTCAACGGCAATAGGTTTGGTTTTTTCGTTGGTCTATAGCACTTTGCATCATGTAAGCTACTAAGGTATTTTACTCACTTCTATTATTTCTCATATGTCTCTCCCCACTAGGATGTAAGCTTTAGGAGGGCAGGGGTCCTTTCTGTCTTCTCATTGCTGTATTCCCAGCACCCAGGACAGGGACTGGCACATAGTAGGTGCTTAGTAAATGTCTGTAGAATGAATCTGTCATTATTAGTAAGATTCAAGTCCTGTCACAGGATATCAGAGCACAGAGGTCCATTAGAAGCATCTGTTTCAACATTCCTGTTCTGCAGAAAAGCATGACTCGCCCGGGGTGCACAGCCTGCATTCTCCACCTCCCAAGGGCCCCCAAGGCACATCTCTCTGTCTGTCTCCCCAAGGTGGGCCTATGAGTGCCTGGGGCCCTGGTGTCCCTGTCCCAGCCCCCAGCTGGTACCTGGTTCTTCAGTAGCCCATCCTCGTAGTACCAGATGCAGCTGTCTCCAGCTCGGGGCTCAGAGACCACCACCCGGCCCGCCTTCATGTCCTCCACATGGTCTGGCACTGCCAGGAATCCCCCCAGGGCCTCATTCCAGAGGCGGAAATAAGCCCGGCGCTGGTGGGGAGGGGAGCCAAGGGTCAGGGGTCCCTGGCCAGGGATGCTCCCACTTGGTCCCCAGTACCCCCCACTCTGGTGCCCCCCAGAATCAAGGTCCCACCCTCCTTCCTGCCCCTAAACCTTCCTCAGTCATGCTTCTAAGTCACTCCTTCTTTCACACACGTATACTCAAAAACACATATGTAGCACATACCTACAGTTCCATGTCCACAGAGATCCCACAGGTGTGTGCAGACAGACACACTGACAGATACGCCCACAGTACACGTGGTTGTACAGACATTCACAGCAGACACAAACACACAAATACAAACAGCCATCCAAGCTCACACATCCTCACTGACACAGGTCTGCCCCACCTACTCCATGACAGGCACTTATGCTTACTAAAAGGACGGAGGAGTGTAGGAACCCAGACATACACACACACTCACAGAAATAAATGCACACACCTGTGTGCCACCATGTGGTGACCACTGGACTAGACATCGGACCTGTCTCCCACAAATCAGCCTGGGCTCTTGGATGGCGGTGACGATAATAGAAATAATAATCATCACCGCTGACGTTTGTTGAGTGCTAACAGACACAAGCACTGTTCCAAGGGTTTTACACATATTACTTATCTTCAATCCTCATATCCACCCCCACAATATATATTAACCTCATTTTAAAGATGAGGAAACTGAGGTCTGTAGAGGTACAGTACTTGCCCAAGGTTGCAGAGCAAATCCTTGTCTACTTCTCTGGGCCTTTATTTCCCCATCTGTAAAATGTGAGGGATGGAGATAATTTCCAAGATTTCTTCTAGCATTAATGTTTGAGTTTGTGAATAAAGGAATTATACAACTACCTCCATACAAAGACACACACACTCACCAGTGTCACGAATATGGGCATGCACAGTCGTAAGCAAACTCCCACGGATGCCCGCACATGCCCAGACCCACAAGTGCACCTACAGAGCACACAGACAGACACATGGCCACAAGTGACATCATGCACAGAAGTACCCTCAGACACGCACACACATGCACATACACACACAGACCCCATGGCCATGACTCCACGTAGATGCACACGTACATAAATCCACACGGGCAGACACGTGCAGATACAACGTATCCCAAAGTGAAATGTGCTCATGACTGGTGGTTGGTACAGGAAATAATTTTCAGACCTACGTGGATAAATTTATTTTTAAAAATTTAACAGTAATATATTTATTATAATGTCTACTAAGGAAAAATTATACATGTACATCAAACCCATGATTTCATGGATATTATTCCTTTGGACGAGGATAAAGTGAAAAAAAAAAAAAAAGTGAGTTGATTTAGAGAAAAATATTAAGTGGATCAAGGTTCCAGAAGAATGATGATGTGGAAAAATTGTGACAATGCTTGTGATGGTTAATTTGATGTGTCAACTTGACTAGGCTATGGTGCCCAGTTGTTTGGTCAAACACTAGTCTAGACATTGCTGTGAAGGCGTTTTGTAGATGTGATTAACGTTTACAATCAGTTGACTGTAAGTGATGGAGATCGCTCAATTACCCTCGATAATGTGGGTGGGCCTCATCCAATCAGTCGAAAGCCTTAAGAGCAAAAATTGAGGTTTCCAGAGGAGAAGGAATTCTGCCTCAAGACGGTAACACAGAAATCCTACCTGAGCTTCCAGCCTACCAGCCTGCAGATTTCAAACTTTCTAGTCCCTACAATTTTGTGAGCCAATTCCTCTCTCTCTCTCTCTATATATATATATATACACACACATATATTTAGAGAGAGAGAGAGCATTTGTGTATTAGAGTTCTACAGAGAAACGGAAAAAAATATATACACACATACGCATATCCACATACAGAATACACACACACACACATAAGCAGAGAAACAGTGTGTGTGTGTGTATGCATAGATATAATCTCTTTCTCTGTAGAATCCTGACTGACACACTGCTACACAAATGCTGAGTTCAGGAAACATGGGTAGATCACACCCAGACAGGTCAGCATAGACACATTCAACCCCAGACACGCAACTCACCTGCTTGATGGGGTAGAGGGAGCCCACCCTCTGGGTCCCGCTGTATGTCAGCCAGTTGGTGATCTCACAGCTGCCCGCCAGCCACTGGCGGCCCCGGAAGTCGCTGTGCTCACACAGCACCCAGCTGGGTCCAGAAAGTGCCAGAGACACAGAGAGGAACTCAGACAGACAGACAAGTAGAGGAGGAAACATGGACTTCAGAGCCTTCCATATCTCCTTTTCTCCCAAGGGCATTCCTAGCCTGGAGTTAGGTCCTGAGGGTAGGGAGGGAAGCTTGGAAGTAGATTTGGGGTTTTCAGGGCAAAGCAGGGTCCTAGAGAGGCCAGCTGTGCCCTGGAGGGCTGGGCTCCAACCCCTGAAAGCCAGTGACCCCTCTCAGTCTGAACTTCTCCCTCCTTGGTTGGAGGAGGGTAGGGCAGAAGAGGAGAGGGGGAAGGGGTGGGAGACATCCTCGCAGCAGCCCCCACATCCCCTGGGCCTCCTAAAACACTCACATGCCCCCCTTGATCCGCACGGACAGCACATGGTTGTTGAAGCCCTCAGCTTGCAGGCTCCGCACCTCGCTGTTGAGCTCAATCTCCTTCCCCTCAAAGCACTCCAGCCCGTACAGGAAAATGGAAGGCTCTGAAAAGTGCTGGGGGGCCGGGGAGTGGAGGAGGGGTGAGGCCACAAGAGCCGTAGTCCCAGACTCAGCCCCAATAATCCCAGACCCCTTAACCCCTAGATCTGTATTTCAGGCTGTCTTCCCTCCTGAGCTCCACGCCTAGGCCCACTGACCCCAATGCTGCTGGCTAGGGTCCTCAGTATTCTCAGATGCCTCATATGCCAGACTGGGCCTGGAGACCCCCTCAAACCTCCTACCTGGAGATGGAAGTTCTAAGAACTAATAGCCCCAGGCGGAAACATGGGGCTCATTCTACATATTCTCCTTTTTGTCCTCACTATAACAACAATCCTAATAATAATAGTACATACTGGTAATAATAGCACTTCTCACTTATTCACAGTGTACTACGTGCCCGATTCTGTGCTAAGTGCTTTACCTCATCTCATTGCTACTTCTCAACAACTCTAAAAGGCAGATGCTATTATTATCCCCACTTAACAGAGGGAACCTGAGACTGGAGAAGGTAAACTCTTGCCCAAGGCCCCAAAGCTGGGCTTCGAAACCAGGTCTGTCTGCAGAGCCCAGTGCGTAACTGTAAAGAGTTTGGATGCCTGGGTTAGAACCTGGCTCTGTTATCAGCTGGACAACCCTGAATAAATTGCATAACCTCTCTGTGCCTCAGTTTCCATATCTGTAAAAGGGAGATAATAATAGTAAGCATGTTTCATAGGGTTGTGGTGAGGATTAAATGCCTTAGTATGTGGGAGGCCCTGAAAATGCTGCCTGGCACAGAGCATGCGTTCAGGAAATGTTGACTGCTCTGACTAGGTGCCACCACCCTGGCCTGTCCACTCAGTCCCCAAGTCCTACAGACTGTATCCCCTTAATATGGCCCATGTCAGTTCTTTCCATCTCTTCCCTGGTCTAGGATGTCACCATGTATTCTGGGTTACTGTAGCAGCAACCTGTCATTCCTCCCTGCATAGAACCACCACCTCGGCAGTGCCAGCCCCCACCCCACCCTGAGCAGCAGCCCCTCCCGCGCCTGTACACTTCTGTATCTAGACACATCACTCTGCATTACTATCTTTATGTCCATGAGACCATGGGTTCCTTGAAGGCGAGGTTGTGTCTAATTTTTTTCAGTGTCTCTATTTCAGGTGGTGCAATGGTTAAGTGCTTGGCTGCTAACTGAAAGGTCAGTGGTTCGAACCCACCAGCCACTCCACAGAAGAAAAGACCTGGTGATCTGCTCCTCTAAAGATTATAGCTTAGGACACACTATGGAGCAGTTTTACTCTGTCGTATAGGGTTGCTGTGAGTAGGAATTGACTCGATGGCACACAACAACGTCACAACATTTCAGGATCTACCTCAGGCAGGAGCTCAATAAACATCTAGTGGACTGAACTGGCTGTGAAGTCCCAGGGTCAAGGGGATCTGGGTGGTTCTGAAGAAGACTGGGTTGTAGCCCCACCAGCCTACTGTGTGATGAGAAGAGGTTCTGTGCCCAGGACTTGCCCAGCAGCTCTCCTTGCCTCAGGGGTTCCCTGACTGTGGATGGGGGCACTCACCAGGGGTACCTTCTGGAGAGAGCCCAGGACCGTGGAGACTAGGCAGCCCATGGCCGTAAGAGTGGGAAACTCGCCCTCGGAGAGAATGTGCTGGTCACCCTCAAAGTTCTTCTCATCGAACAGGATCCAGCTGGGGATGGGGGAGAGGAGGGAATGGGAGTGGGTATGTGAGCCTACCCCATTCTCAGCCTGCTCCGGGCCCCCTGAGATACAGAAGAGTGGATGCAGACCTGATCCCCCTAGTTCAGGAGAGGTCCAAGAAAAACAGGCACTGCAGCAGCAGGGACTGAGGTCAGGCTCAAGAAAGGACTTAATGAAATCATACTGCCCCTATGGACCGGAATTTGGCAATATCAAGCAAACTACATGTGCAATTACTCAGCAATCTCACTTCTAGGAATCTATCCTAAGGACACTCTTCAAAACATGAAATGACACATTGACAAGGCTATTCATTGCAGCACTGTTTGCAGTAATGTGATAATGACTTGTGGCTATGTAGGGGAAAGGTCTTTGTTTATTAGAGATGTATAACTGAAGTATTTACTGGAGAAATTTTATGATGGGTCTGGGATTCAAAATACTCCACAAAAAAGGGGGGGAGGTTGTTATACTATACTATCTAGGTATGTACGTTTTATATTGTTCTTTAAAACTTTATTTGTGTGTTTTAAGATTGATCGACTCAGGAGGCTAAGGGGAGGAAATCATCTTTTTACTGGAAAGAAAGCCTTCTCCTGCAGCCCCGATTATCAAGCTGAGTTAAACGTTTCAAAGCAGGTGCGCCCACCCGCACCCCCGAAGTACTCTCCCCAGCCCCCACTTTGCCGCATTCACCTGCCGCCGTGGACCCGGCAGGACTGGGGCTGGAAGGAGGGGGGCAGAGAGGCTTGGTCATCCTCGAAGGAGATGTGGTCGCCCAGGAAGTCGGGGCCGGAGAAAAGCTGAATCTGGGGGCAGAAAGGGGAGATGAGAGCGAAGGAGCGCGAAACGGTAGGGGAGAGGATGGTGAAGAGGGGGAGACGTCTGAAATGAGGGGAGAGGAGACCTACGCTCCTAGCAGTTCCCTACGGAGTCTCCTCCTTACCTTTGAGGCAAAGTGCAGATTGTGCTCCCCGACCTGAAGGGAGGGACCAAAATTTCGAGATTTAAGAAGGGTACCAAGCCCTTAGCCTCAGCACCTCTGGTTTGCATGTTTCAGACCCTTCAGCGGCTCTGCTTCTCCCTAGCCGGCATCAGCCCCGCCTCCTTCCAGAGGCCCCGTCCCCTCCCGAGATCCCCGCCCTGTCTTTCCAGTCTCCATTCCCTCAGCGGAGAGCGCGTCCCTGACTCCAAGCTCCGCCCCTCGCAGAGGACCAGCCCGCCGCTGCCGCACGCACCTGCAGGACCGGCTGCAGCGAGACGAGGGCGCTGTTGCTCGCGCCCCAGTCCTCGCAGTTGCGGTACACGCCCTTCTCCAGCACGTACTGCTCCCCGGAGAAGCCTACCTCCTGATAGGCCACCCACCTGCAGGAGGGGCGGGGCGCAGGTCGGCGGGGGCGGAGCCGGCACCTCCCTGGTACCGCCCCCGCCCCGCCCAGCCCGAGGAAGCCGCTCTCACTCACACGCCGCTGAGCACGTGGATGGCCTTCGTACACGGCTGGTGTCCCGCCTGCTCCACGTCGGGCAACGCCTCGGTCACCTCGACGCTGGGCCCCTTGAAATCCATGCTGTCAAACAGCACCACGGCCGGGTCCGCGAAATCCTGGGCCCCGGGGACAGTCAAGCTTCAGTAGAAGCCGGCCCGTTCCGTCCAAGAACAGAAACCTCTGGGAGTGCCCAGACCCCAGGGACGCAGCCCACCCAGGAAATTCGGGATGAGGCATCAGTGCAGCCTGGGGAAGAGTAGCAGGAGGGAGAGAGGCTAGACCTCCGGGAACACTTCCAGGTGCTCTGGAGAACAGGGAGAGGGGTACAAGTTCACCCCTTGTAAATTGTACTAGAGGGAAGCCTGGCTGTAGGCAGAGGTAAGAGGGATGGCCCAAATGCCCTCGCTTACCGTGCGGATGACCCGCAGGGAGGTCAGCACCTTGTCGTACCCTCCCCAGTGTGACCAGTCGGCGTATTCCCCCTCTTCCAGCAGGTACTGGTGGCCCCGGAAGCCCTCCTTCTCATAGCCCACCCAGCTGGGAAGGAAGAAGATGGACAAACAGTCGCAGGAAGCCCATGAATGGATAAGACAGCTGCCCCCACTCCCAGGTGCCCAGGTCACTCCCTGCCCCAACGGTAGAGGCCGGTGGCGGGGATGAGGTGGAAGGAAGGGTGCTGAATCCTCACCAGCCCCCAAGGACCCTCAGGGACCCCACAGAGGCCAGGTTGGGGCTCTGGCTGTCCTCTGGCTGTTTCAGATTGTAGATGTCTCGGCTCACTTCCCAGCTCTGGCCTTGAAAACCTGGAGCCTCAAACACCACAGCCTGCGGGCATGAGAGTGGAGGGGTCAGGTTGGTGGGGAGCAGTCTGGGCCCAAACACCAGCCAGCCCAGGAGTGGCTCTGCCCAGTATCAGCCCAGAGCCCTCACCCCTCACTGAGCCCCAGGACTTTACCTATCTCCTGTCCACTCTGATCTCTGACCTGGTCCTGACACAGCAAAAGCCAGTTCCCAGTGAGTTCGTCAGGCTCCATCCTCCCAGACCCAGCTTCTGACCCCCAGCGCCCTCTCTCCTGTCTTCCAGTCTAGGTCACACAGCCACAACCTCCCTGAGGCCCTCTTTGACCCTGAGGCTCTTACCTTGGGCTCCCCTGGTCTCTCCACGCTGGGACAGCCCTGCAGAGGAGACAGAGCTGAGATACCAGCCCAGAGTTGGGGAAGACAGATGGGCTGGGGACCCAGGATTTTCTTGATCCTGAGACCCCTGAAAATGGTGACTCATGTCCTCCCTTTTTCCCTGCCCCTTGGTCTAATCCCGTCTCCTCTGATCCACGTGCTCAGTGGGAGCCCCCAGGCCCTGCCTCTTCCCACAGACTTCACCAGACCGGGGGTGTGTCCTGCCCCTTACCAATGTCACAGGCTTCAGGGAACCAACACTGGGGTCGGATGTGCCACAGGCCTCCAAGGTGGGGTACTCTCCAGGCTCCAGGATGCAGGGCGTGTCCTCAAAGAAGGGTTTGGGGTACAGCAGCCACCTGGGGGACAGCAAAGAAGCTGCTGCACCCTAGGTCCCAAGGGACACAGATTGGTGGATGGGAGGGAAGACTGAGGAGCAGGTCTCAGGGGGACCCCCATCAAGGGAAATCTAGAGGACATTTCAAAGCCCCATAATCTCTTGCAATAGCCACCTTATTGGCTTCCCCGGCCTGGCCTCCTCCCCCTCCCGCCTGAATTTCGCACAGCAGTGGCCGAGTTCTTTCTAGCACACATACCTGCTTTAGAAAACCCAGTTGAAAAAAAAACAAAACAGTAGTTCCCCATTACCCTCACAATAAAGCCCAGTAGCACAAAGATGCCTGTGTGATCTGACCCCTGCCTTTTTCCAGGCCTCACATCTCACCACTTGCCCCTTACACTGGCCACACTGAACTTTCAAAGCCTGGATCTCTCACCTCTGGGCCTTTGCATGAGCTATTCCCCCTGCTAGATACACTCTTTCCCCATTCATTCAATTAACAAATACTTTGGGGCAACTACCCTGTGCCAGACCCTGCTTTAGGTGTCAGGGATACAGTAGTGAACAAAACAGACAAAATTTCTGCCTTCATGGAACTTAGATTCTTCTTTGTGCCAACTCTGGCTCATCCCAGCTGAGGTGCCCCCTCCTCCAGGAAGGCTTCTGTGACCATGACCACCATCCAGGCTGGTTTGGTGCTTTTCTGTGCTTCTGCAGCCCTATGCTTCCTACCACCATCAGCCTGATGCTCTGGATTGCCACTGTCTGTTTACTTGCCTGTTCCCACAAGTAGACTAAGCACTCCTTGAAGGCAGGAACTGTGTCCTGTCACCTCTGTGTCCCCAGCACCCACCATAGTAAATATTAAATTTAGAGATTCCAGAACAGCCCAGACTCACAGTCCTGTAGAGACAGTGATAGATGCCACCTGCAGGGGCTTCCCTAAGTCCTGGGAGTTCTCTAAGGCCTGGGTTAGCTTCACCTGCTCCCCTTTGAGGTCCTCCTCAGAGAACAGGCTGATCTCCGGGGTGCTGTAGTCCTGCAGAAGGAAAAGGGTAGAAATTGAAGTGTCAAACAATCCCCTTGGAAACCACCCCTGCCCCCCAACTGCTTCCCCAAGTGTACCCAGCCAGGGCCCCAGGGGGCTTCTGGAAACCTTTGTGGCCATTTCTCCCAGATGTAGGGAGGTACCTGGGTGTTCTCAGCAAGGTCTGCCAGATGAGCCTGACAGCAAATCCCTGTCAGGCCCAGCAGGAACCACTGAGGTGCCATGCCCATCCCCCTGCCTCTGAGTAGTCTGCCTTTCAAGCTGGTAGAGGGACAGGCAAGACTGATGGCTACTGAGGTCTTTGACCCTTCCTTTAAGCACAACTCCTGCCTCGGCCCAGACTGGCTTCTGCCCCCATCTCATCCCAGGGAGCAGGAGGCCCTCTGCATTCTTGGTGTTTCTTCCTCATTAGGACCGTTTTTCACTCATTCATTCATTATATGCTTATGAAACATCTACTGAGTGCAAGGCACTTCCCCAGGTCATTTATTCCTGCCAACGAGTGTTATTACTGCACTCACAGATGAGGAAGGTAAAGGTCAGGGAAGTTAAGCAACCTTCCCAAAGTCACACAGCTTGTAAGTAGCAAAGTTAAGAATAGACCACTGTAGTTTTTGTACACTATTAAACCACCCAGCACCTCCCACATGCCTGGCACACAGTAGGCGCCCAATTAATACTGAAGAAATCAAATGAATCCAGGTCCATCTGACTTCAAAGCCCTTGTTTTCTCTCTTGTACCTTGTTACCTGCCACACAAAGATGAATTTATTGTGAGAGGCTCACAATAAATTATCCACAAACATCTGTGTGTTTCTGAGAAGCTTTGAAAACTCTTGTCCCCTCTTTGCCTGGCTGGACCACTGCCCTAGTTAAGACGAATCATATCTTGTCATCTCTCACCAGGAGGATTATAATAGCGCTGGACTTGGGCAACTTACTCTTTCACTTAAAAAAACCAAAATGTCTGATAGGCCCCAGCTCTCTCTTCTGGGTCTCTCTAGTGCCAAGATGGTTTTTTTGTCAACCTTAATTTCTGTAGTTTACAAATTTGTGTGGGAAAACAATAGTTTTTGGGTTTTTTTTCTCACTTTACAAATATGAAATTATCAGTGTTAACTATGCCTTTTCAAACCACACCCCCCTTCCTCAAAATTCAGCAGTCCCTCCTGCACTGGAAATCATAGCACTTCCTGGTTTCCAGGCCTCCACCTGCCAGCCAGAGAAATGTTTCTAAATCCCCAATCTGGTTATACGGCTTCCTGCCTCAAACCCAACCTCATATCCTGGCTTAACCACGAGGCCTGCAGGGCAGAGAGCAGTTTTCCCCTGCCCACCCATCGCCGGGCACAGTGCCTGGCACACAGCAGACATCAGTGAGCATCTGTGAACAAATGAATGAACAAATGCCCCGTGGCATCCTCGGGTCTGACTGTGGGCCTGAGAGCCTGGGCCCTGGGTGGCAGGTGACTCCCATGGAGAAGCTCACAATAAATTATCCATAAACATCTGTGTGTTTCGGAAGCTTTGAAAACTTTGCCTGGCTGGGCCACTGCCCTAGTTAAGACTCATCATCTCTAGTCATCTCTCACCTAGTCCTTCTCTAGCACTAGCCAGCACTTCCCCAGGCTGCTTTCCCAAGCTGGGGCTTAGCCTCTGCCCGGCCCCTCCCTCTTCAAGCCAGCCTCTGCACACTCCCCAGAATCCCTTTCTTCCCCACTCGGCTCCAAGATCAGGAATCTATAGGTCCGTCCATAATTAAACGCCAGATTCCAGTTCTAGGCAACCAAGGCTGTCTCCCTCCTCGGACTGGAGTGTCTCCTCCCTCTGACTGGCACGTTTCCCTCTCAGAATAGGATTCCAGAGGGCAGGGCCCATGGCAGACAGCAACATATGGTCTCCTATCCCCATTCTTAGCCCACTCACCTGGACGACCCTCCTCAGAGAGCCAATGCCTTTGGGACTCCATTCTGTCCCTGGGGCTCGGAGTTCCACATCTCCTTCGGGCAGGACCAGCTTCCGGCCCCGGAACTCTGGCTCTTCATATAGTACCCAGCTGTGGGCACAGAGACCCCAGGGTCACTGGGTGGCAGGGGGAATGTACCCACAAGGCAGCTAATCGGGTTTCTGCTAGGTTGGCCCAGACACTTCTCACTGTCCCTCACTCCCCAGGTTTACAACCAGGACCTCCACTGGGCACTCCCCACTCACCAGCCTCGCACCACCCTTATGGAGGCCACAAGGGCCCAGCCTGAGGCATCGGCAATGTCTTCCCAGACCTCCCTGCTGCTGCCCTGGCAGCTGGGCTCCGAGAAGAGAATCATCTAGAGAAGGCACAGAGGGGATCCTCAGGCCCTGTCCCCAGGCTTCTGCTGCCCCTCCCCCACTGCTCCCATACCCCTACCTTTCCAGGCCTGGTATTCAGCTTGCCCTGGGTCTTCAATGCTGGACTCTGGGAGAGAAGGGAATGATAAGAAGTCTTATGGGGGTTGCCTCCCCACAACCTGCCATTCCGGGGATCTACATCCTCCCTATTCTCCTGTATCCCCAAGAAGTTGGCCCACAGAGTATGCCACACTTGTTCCCAATCCCCAGGGGTCTCATCAACCCTGTCCCGGGGTTGGGTGCCCATCACTCCCCTTCCCCAGCTTTGGAGCCACCAAGCTGTTGGGAATCCACAGCGCAAACCTCCTGTAGTACGGATGGGGAGACTGCGGCCCAGAGAGAAGTGGCTAGCACAAGGTCCCACTGATCTAGAGCTCAGACCTGAACCTCCTGCCTCCCGAGACTCTGACTCCCAGTATAATGCTCCTCATGCCACCCAAAGCCCTGACACAGGTGAGGTCAGGCCCCTCCCTTGCCACCCAGGCCTCACTCACCCACCCCTCCGGGGACTGGGCTTGGGCAGGCTTCTCTGGCGCTGGCCTTTCACTGCAGAGCAGGGGCAACTGTCCCGGCACCTTCTTGAGCCCCGGTGCCCCATGGGGCGGCAGAGCAGATAGTTTTGCACCCAGTGGCTCCAGGGTGGGGGCCTCCTTGGTGGCAGGCACCAGACTACCAAAGAGAAGGCTGCCTCCAAGACGGGAAGTAGGCCTGCTGCCAGCCTGCCGCTCAGGCTCCAGCTCTGGGTGGGAGCCCTTGGCATCTGTTACATGCTTCTTCATCATCTCCAGAGGGGAGAGGAAGTCCTGGGGAGGCTTGGCAGTGCAGGGTTCCCAGGAGGGGCTGGCCCCAGCTTTCTCCTGCCTGCGCTGGAGCTTCTCATCGTCGCTCAGGTAGGGGTTCTCTGGTTCCTCCTCCTCCTCTTCCTCCTCCTTTTCCTCCAGTGCTGGCACCTCCTGGGGGCTGGGTCCCAGCACCCATGGCCCAGGCTGGTCCTCCTGAATGGTGGGCAGCGTGGCGTACATAGCCAGGTAGGAGGAGCGGGGGGCTCGTGGCAGCCAGTGAGTGCGGAGGATCTCGGGGGGCTCCATGCTCCGCAGGGTATCCAGGAAAATCTCCAGGTCCTCAGCCAGGGCCACCTCATCCTCCTCTCTCAATGGTTCTGGGAGCATCTTGTCCTCAGTGGAGTCAAGGACAAGCTGGGACTTCAGGCTGGCCTCTGCTCCCAATGGCATGGGTGCGAGGGGGCCTCCTAGGCTGGGGGACACCTTGTCTACTGAGGAAGATGGGGCAGGAAGGACAGCAGGGCCCTGGACAACTACTTTCTGGGTAGAAAATGGGGCAGCAGAAGCACCAGAGTCCTGGACAACCTCTTTTTGGGTGGGAGACAAGATGGGAATGCCTTCAGAGCTCTGCACAACATTTTCCTGTTTGGGAGATGGAGTAACAGGAGTAATTGGGCCTTGGTCAACCTCTTCCTTGGTGGGGGAAGGGGCCAGGCTGCCTTTAACACCCTGGGCAACCTCTTTTTGGGTGGAGGATGAGCTGGGGCTGCCCTCTGGGCCCTGGACAACCTTGGTTGGTTTGAGGGGTGAGGCAGCAGGCGTACCAGGGCCTTGTAGTACTTCTTTCTGGATGAGGGATGGGTCAGCAGGAGCACCTGGACCCTGTACAACCTCTTTCTGGGTAAGGGAGAAGGAAGAAATACCTTCAGAGTCCTGAACAACCTTATTGCTTGGGGAGGACGGAGCAGACATACCTTCTGCGCTGGGGGCAGACTTCCTTTTTGCAGAGGATGGAGCAAGTTGTCCAGGGGCCATGGTGACCTCATTCCTCACCATGGGCAGGGTGGTGGCAGCCGGGGGATCCGTGAGTCCTTTCTTTTTTACAGAGGGCAGGTCATGGGGCACCCTGGGCCCGAGAGTGTGCTGAGTCCTGGGGTCAGTGGGCATCACAGGCTGCTCTGGGGGATGGACTAGGCCCAGGGAGGGGGTATGGGTCTGAAGTCTGGGAGAGGCGGATCCTGGTACTTGGTCCTGAGAAGTCTGGAGAGAGAGTTGAGTGGGACTGGAGGCTCTCTGCACCCTGGGGGCCTCATGGGTCCTGGCCTCTGAAGCTCTGCCCTGGTCTTGGTCTGGGTAGGCTGCAGGGACATGCTGGTATTGAGGTGGGTGAGTGCTGGCTAGGATACCTGCAGGGGCCAGAGCAGATTGATCCTTTGGCTCTGTTGCCCCAGTCCCAGGTGGCTGCCCCAGGACTGCCCCTGTTGTGCTGTCCAGACCTGGGTTCCTTGGCACGATGACTGTGGGCCTGGGAAGCTGAATGGCAGGTGGGCTGCGCTCAGGAGGCACAAGGCTCGTTAGCAGCTCCAGGGCCTGGCTGTGGTTGGGTGAGCCCTCAGCCCGGGGGCTCACCACCACTGCCCGGACCGTGCGGGCAGCACTGCGACCTCTGGGCAGGGCCTTGCCCGGTAGCACCGGCCTCACGGTCACAGAGCTGCTCACCCGTTGGTCCACCTGCCCTTCCACCACTGTGGTAGTCCGCACAGTGCATGTCACCCGCCGCTTCTCACGGATCCGGGGGCCCTCGCTGGTGAGACCCATACCTGGGTGAGGGCTCAGCTCACGGGGCACAGGCAGGGGCACCAAGAACTCATTCCTAGCCGGGGCTCCTGGGCCTGGGGGCTCAGTCCTGGGGGGCTGGGGGCCGCCATCACCCTGGTCCACAGCCTCCTTCAGCCTCCCCACTGGCCTCTTCTTCTTGGGGGTTGGTGTGTACTTCTTGGAAAAGATGGGCCCATGGCTCTGAAAGCTCTTTGAGCCAGCCCCATCCTGGGGTCCCTGGTAATTCACAGTCTTTTCTTCCTGTGTAGCAAAGCCATTGACTTCCTCTTGACAGTGGCTGTACTCGAACATCTCCTCCCGGGGGGCTTCCATCTGGGTCCCTGACACCAGAGACACCTTATGAAAATGGTGTCTGATCTCCTTCTGAGCAGGAGGCCGCTGCCGCCACATCAGCGTGGCACTCATCACTCGGGCCTTGGCCCGGGCCGGGGGCCCACCTGCCTTCTCCATGTTGGGCCCCGGCAACCTGTCCTGAGGGGTCCTTGTCTTCCTGTGGTCCAGCTCCCTGCAGGTGGTGCCAGGAAGAAGACAGATGAGTGTCAGGGGATAGTGAGGGTGGCTCCCCACAATACAAAATAACCACTCCTGCTGAGGTCAGGCTGGGTGACCTTGAGCAAGTCACTTGACCTTTTGGGCCTTTGTTTTCTCATCTGTAAGATGGGCATGATACTCCCAACTCTGACTTAATTCATCAGGGCCCCTCATTCAACCCTATTCCCACTTTTAGGCGATCCCCTAGGCCAGGGTTCTTCAAAGGGTGGAACTAAGGACTAAGCCTGGAAGCAGAGAGAAGGAAGAGAGCAGAAAGGAATATGAGGCTGTCTGTGTTAATAGTAATAATAACGACAACAACTGTGTATTGAGGGCTTACTCTATCAAAACATCTTGCCAAGAGCGTTACAATTATTGTCCTATTGAATCCTTGAAGAACCCCATGAGTTTGATACCTCATAAAGAATAAATTATTAATAAATCGTAAACAATCCCATTTTACAGATGAGGGAAAAAAGGCTCAGAGAAATTAAGTAACTTGCCCAGAGTCAAACAGCAGCAGAGTGAGGACTTGAATCCTGGCCCTGAAGTCCATGTGCTTAACCACTATACCAAATTCCTTAATGTATTTATCTGGTAAACTGAGACTCTTTGGTTTTGGGGTTTGTTTTTAAAGGGAGCCACAGTTCTCCTGGAGGGGCCAGTCTCCCACTCCCTGACTCTAGGAGCCCCTTCCAGCTGCACTGACCAGGAGGACCATATTCTCAGACCCCAAGGACCCCAGAGAGGTCTGCCTGTTCATCTCCAGCCTCAGGACCAACCTGTCTTCAGATCTGTACCTCCTCTCTACAAGGTAGCCCCCAGAGACCACACCCTGGACCAGAAATGGACCCACTGCCCCCAGCTTCCATGATAAGGAGACCCCTTCCCCCACTTCCACCATCCTCCCTCCTGAGAAGGTGGTGGAACCTAGAACTTTGACCCTGCCCTGTGTCCCCAGCAGTGACTCAGGTTTTATGAGGGGCAGAGATGAAAGGGGCTGAGGTCCAGGGAAGCTGCTGAAGCCTAACCTGACTCCAGGACCACTGGTGGCTATGACAGTGCCTGACCTGGTCTGGACATTTAGGGAGTTTGGGGGCATGGGCTGCAATGGATCCCCATCCATTCCCCTGGCTTCCTGAGAGCAGGACACACCAGACACCTGAGGCCCTGGGTCTCAGCCCTTCACTCAGTCCTCGCTACTGAGCCCCCTTTCTGCTCATGGAACCCCTATCCTCCTCACTAGGACTCCCCCACATGGAGCTTCACTCCCTCACTGAGCCCCCCCATGAGTCCTTGTCCCCCTCACTGAGTCTCCTCCCCATTTCTGAATAATAACAACTACCATTCACTAAGATTACTTGTCCCTGGTAGCACTGATAATAAGTGTCAGAGCCTGGGTTCTAACTCATTCATCCATTCATTCACTCATTCATTCAATATTAATTGTGCCAGGTGATGTGTTAGGTGGGGGTTAAGCTCATCCAAAGCGGACTTCCTCATGAAGGTGGTATCCTAGGAGTCCAGGGGTCAACAAATTAGACATAAAAAAACAGGAACCACATTCCGAAGGCCCCATGGGCTTTGGCAGAATACGAGGAGAGCAGCTTCAAAAGAAGCTGTCGGTAATCAGATCAGATCTTGTTAATGACCTCCTGACCAACAAAATTCAATGCCTTTCTCAACCCAACCCAACTCCTGGACAACACCCCTAATAGTTACTCATTCTGCAAGCATGGGTTATTTGCTTCTGCTTGTATACCCCTAGGGACAAGGAGGTTACCACTTGACAGTTCACCAGTCCCATCCCTGGACAGTCATGACTGCTATGTTCTTCAAACTGTGCTGAAATCTGTTCGCCTATAGCTCCCCTCGCCCCCAACCCTTTATCATTGCTTTGAAAACACACCTTAATGGTCCAGGATACCCTTCCTGGGCCAGTCAAAGTGCCCATTCCCAGGAGCCCTCTCATCTCCAGGGCCCCAGACCAGAAGTGGATTTGTTGGCATGGTGACCTGTGATCTCCAAACAAGATGTGTGGGGCTGGGAAGGGAGAGGCTGGGGTGGGGGGAGGGAGTGTGGGAAAGAGCTTTGTCTAACCCAGCAAGTCTTGGATTCTCCCCACTTACCTGTGAGTCACCCCCAAACTAGGCCAAACCAGTCCACAGGCCCACACATCGGCAAGCACATGCTGCGTCACACGGGCTCACACAGACCCACTGAATCACACAGGCACAAAAACACACACAGACACTTACATAGACATGCATAGTCAAGGATACACACAAACACACAGGCACACACTGAGACTCAGACACAGTCACAGTTATAAACACACTCAGAGACACAACACACACACAAATCACATACATATACACAGAACACACAGACACAGTGACACACCCGTGCACACATTCACAGTACACAGCTAATTTACACTCATGAGCTCTCCTCCTCTTGAAACTCACCTATACTTGAACACAGACACACACTTGGGTGCACATATATCTTACACACCCCCACTTGCAGCCCCAACTGTGTCCTGCACACACACACCAACACACATATTTGCCTACTCCTGGCTCAAAGAATCCTCCCCATAAGGGGACATACGGGATGGTGTCTGGGTGGTCATCTTCTTCACTCTCTAAGTGAGCCCCAGCCTCCCACCTGAGTCTGTCATTATTCACCTGGGCCCAAAATAGCCAGGGAGTGGCAGGGAGAGCCCCGCATCCCCCCGGCTGAACTTCCCACTTCTTCCTTTCCCCCCTACTCGGGCCTCTTGCACCCACCTTCCCTCTCTCTGCAGCCCTTCTCTCCTCCCCAGGCTGGGGCACCCAAGCAGGTCTCAGGACAGGCCTAGGACCAGGCCTACTGACGCCTGCCCAGAAAACCTGGGCGTCCCTGATTCTGCCTCTGCTAGTTACAGTGGCTGCCAAATCCCACCTCCACAGGATTACAGAGAACCCTAGAGCCTGCAAATCAACCATACTCAGGCCTCTGCTTTCTGCACAAAGAGGCCTCTTTGAGAGGCAGGATAGAGTGATGGTTAAAGCACAGGCATTTGTGTTAGAGAAACCTAGGTTCAAATTCTGGCTCCTTCCTTTCTAGTTGTCTGAATTTGGCCAAGTGAATGAATCTTTCTGAGCCTTCGTTTCCCTGTTGTAATTGGTGGCAGGGGAGGGAGCAGTATTAGTCCCTATTTCATGGAGCTGTTGTGAGGATTAAATAAAATTATGCTTGGAAAAAAACTGTAAATGGCAGCCACCACTATCATCATTAGGAACTTTTCAAAGCCCTGCCTGAGGCCCAGTGCCCCTTCCTGGTCATCTGGAGGGGGGGGTGGGGGTCCCATATTCATCCCCTCCCCAGTAAGTTTTGGGGAACCCACCCTTCCACCTCTGAGCCTACCAGGCAGATTTAGGAGAGTCATTTCAACACAAATAAAAACCAAGGCTTGGGAGTCTCGCCTGTTCCTGTGGCCGCCAGCACAGAGCCAGGTAGGGTAATTACTGCTGCGACTGAGGCGTTATTAATAAGCATCCCCGCTGTTTCGGCAGCCCAACTCTCTGGAGTTCAAAGCATGTTCCTGTAACTACCTCCTCCTTCCTCAGCTCCAGCTACCAAATCCATTCAACACTTCAAGGCCCAGAGAGGTTAAGCCACTTGCCCCAGGACACCCAGCACCTTGGCTGGGTGCCCCTTTCCAGGCTAAGTCTATGGCCTCCAGGACAGAACCGAGAGTGGCAGGTGTTGTTGAGAAGGTGGTCCCATCCTCTCTGGGACAGGGTTTCCTCCTGGTCAGGTGGGCAAGGGAGGAGAGCAGCAGTAGCCTGAGGGTAGAGGTAGGGGAGGAGGGCAGAGTTGGAGTGGGGAAGTCAGCCCGAGTCAGCTCTGGCTCAGGGAATTGAATGAATGAATGGGCCTCGAGTTGAAGAAGCCCAGGAACGAGGCAGAGAGACCTAGGAGGGGGCAGCCAGGCCCCTCTCCCCTCTCACCCCACCGTCCCACATGGGGACCGACCTCTGCTCACCGTCTGTGTGGGGACCCAGATGTCCACCTAGTCTGGAGCTCCTGCCGCTGGGCTGTGCTCTCCTGATGCAGTCGGGCTCTCAGCTGGGGCTCCTGGGGCGGGTCGGTCGGGCACCCTGTGATGGGGCGGGGCCCCTGGGGAGGCTCCTGCCAGCCCCTGGGTTCCTCAGGGCCACAGGGGTGGGGATCTGGTTGGGCCAGTTCAGGCTCCTCCCTCTCCTCCCCAGGTGCCTGCCCACACCCCTGCAGGGTGATGGTGATGTGGTAGCGGGTCCTCCTGGTAGAGGGACGCGCTTGGAGGGTTTGGGCTGGCTCTGGCAGGGCCGGCCCTGGGGTAGCAGGCTCGCCCTTTGCCCCCTCTGCCGTGGGGAAGGATGCTGGGTAGGGCAGCAGGAGCACTTCTTCCAGGTTACCAGGTAACTCAGGCCTCAGAGAGACCTCTGGGGCTGTGTATGGGGGCTGTGGGCAAGCACAGCCTGCAGGTCTCTGTTCCAAATGTCCAGGAACTGGCACTGGGCATGAGGGGCTCCCGGCACAGGTAGGCTCTGCTGAGACCACTGCTAATGCCAGGCTTTCAGGCCCCATAGAGGCAGAGCTGGCCAGATCGGCGGCGCTGCCCACAGCTGGCCTCTGTAGGCGCCCCAGGGGCTGAACAGGTCCCCCTGAGCTGCGTCGTTGCTTCCAAAGCCAGGACCCACGGCTCCCTGCCCAAAGGTCCCATTCTGAGCGGCTCTGGGTCTGGGCCTGGGGAAAGCAGAGATGGGCATCAAGAGGGGCAGGGCATGGTGACAACAACTCCCCCTTGCCCTCCAGGCACCCCTGAACACCCTGGCTGCCCACCTGACACAGGGGAAGTTGAGCAGGGATCTGGCACCAAGCAGAGCTGCCCTAGGGAAAGGTTTCCAGTGCCACTGGAGCTGGACAAAGGCCCTTCAGCATTTAATTCATCACCTTCCATTCTACATATGAGGAATGAAGGCCTCCACATCTAACTCAGAGAACTGTGACATGACTAAGGTCATACAGCAAGGCAGGGAGGGTTCCCAACTCTCAGGTACCACTCAGCCTGCCCACACCTCCCAAAGGGTGGTGACCTTGGCTTCCTCTCAGGCCGACTGCTGCCTTCCCAAGCGCCCAGAGGCCTCCAGCCCTTTGGGAGCAGCTGCAATGGGGAGTACAGGCTGTGTGGACATGCGTGCTGAAAGCACGCATGGCCTCTGCACACGTCGGCCTTCCAGAGAGCCTGCAGCCACCTCTTGGGCACCCCTCCTGACCCAAGAGTCCCACAGTACACACCTGGGAGGAGGTACTTGGGCACAGAGACTTACCTGGGGCATGAGGGTGCCAGGCAAAAGGGTCTCCCTGAAAGTGGGGCAACACCTGACCTCTGTCTGTTCCCGTCGCCTGGGGCCCAGTCTGGCTGTGGGAGTGGGGGAGTGGGCTCGGGGTCCCAGACCCATATGGACACTAACCCCAACCTGTTCTCAAGGATGAGTTGTGTCCTTGGCAACAGAGGAGCCAAATCTCGGGTCAAAATTCTTCCTAGCAAGGACCCTTGATCCCAAATGCCTTGATTTACTCATCCGTGAAATAGAACCCCGCAGCCTCTTGCTCTCCAAGAGCTGAATACCTCAAGAGACAGGAGAGTTGATTCATTAACTATGGAGGCCTGGAGCAAGGCAAGGTCCCCAGAGGGTGCAAACGGTTTGCTCCCAACTGCTAACCTAGAGGTTGGCAGTTCGAACCCCTCCAACAGTGCCACGGAAGAAAAGCCTTGTGATCTGCTTCCCGTAAGGATTGCAGTCTAGAAAACCCTATGGAGCACAGTTCTACTCTGTAGCACAGGGGGTCACCATGAGTCAGAATCGACTCAGTGGCAACAGGTTTGGTTTTGGTTTGGACGAGGCAGCCTGGGCTTAAGATCTTTCCTGTCTTAGTTTCCCCATATGTAAATGGAAGTGATAATACCAGTACCCGCCTCCTGGGACTGCTGACAAAGACACACAGCTGCCTGAGCCATCACCAGGGGAAGCTGCCCCCCAGCCCTCCAGGGGAAGGACACCTTGTCACCATCCAATCCATGGCTCAGGTCTGAAGTGCAGATGGGGAAACGCCAGAAGTTGAAGCCACTCACTCAGGGTCATCCCTGAGGGGCCATGCCAGGAAGTAGGGGAAAGAAGGGGCCAAAGTTAAAGGAGTGGGTATAGAGAAGGGGGCCTTGGGAACAGGCACAGCCCCTACCTCCTCCCCAGAGGGTCCCATTATTAGTAAGCTCATGTTTCCTGAGTACCCAGGCCCCATGCTGGGTGTTTTACATCCATTACCTTATTCCTCACAGCAGCCCTGAGAGAGAGGCACCATTGTCCCCATTTTGCAAACAGAGACTGAAGTTGCAAGGGGGGACGATCTGCCCAGGGCCACACAGAATCGGTGGCAGAGAGAGGACTAGAAATCCAGTTGCCTGACCTGTAAGCCAGGGTTCTCCGGCCTGCACAGCCCCTCTCTGAGTTTCTGCCCCCTTCCCTCCCCCCACCCTTCTGGCTTCTCTCCTACCTTGAGGCTGAGATTGCTGGTGCTGCCCTGGGCCAAGTCAGGGCAGCTCTGGCCTCCCCAGGGCCTGAGAAGGAAGCAAAGGGGAAAGGGGTGAAGTAGCCTCCTCCTGTCCCCACTCCCCCACCCCAGACTGGCTCCAGCGACCCACAGCCCAGCAGGGTGAGCTCCCGAAACCTTTGGGAGAAGGTTTATGTGGTAGCCTCCTCTCTGCCCCCTCCCCCAGCTGTCCACTCCACCTCCAGAGGCAGAGTAAGAGACAGGGATGGTTTTGGAACCAAAATGGGGACTGGGCCTGTATCAGAGAAACACGGAGAAGAGACAGGGCCCCAGTAATTCCGAAACTCGGCACCTGCTGCGGCCCTCCTGTGTGTGTCAGGCTTAGCACTAGGCCTTGTGCTTCCATGATCTCCTTTAAGCCTCACAAGAATCCTAGAAGGTGGATGTTAGTGTACCCATTTTTCAGATAAGGAAACTGAGGCCCAGAGAGATGAAGTGCAGCCCTCCCCTGTGTACTCTGCCCCTCATTCCAAGCAATCAGCGGGGACTGGAGGCCTATGCCTCAGTGCCAGGGTCCCATTCCCATGGCTTGTGAGACACGCATGGCACGTGTCATCCTGCTGGCCCGGGAGCCTGTGCGGCCCCTCCTCTGCCCTCCCCACCGGACTCACCTGCACCCAACCCCACCTCCTCCCAAGAGGGAGGGGCAGTGCCATCTGGGCCTATAGGGCAGGTTTCTGCCAGGCAGGGTAAAGAGGGAGGGTGTGTCTGCCAAGCGGGGGAGGGCAGGGCCAGGGCTGTGGCAGGGTGTGGGTACCCCCAGGCACCCAGGCATAGGGTGGCTAGGGCCCTTCCCTCCCCTCCCCTCCCTCCCTGGGGTGAGAGGACAGTGCAAACTCCTCCCCTCACTCTGCTCGCACCATGCCCCCACCCCCTCCCAGGCGGGCTGAAGACAGCTGGGTCATAATAAGATCAGAACAAATTGCCCAGTAACTATGTAGACACATAAACATCCCTTTGCCTGTGCGCACACCCATGCTGTCTGCAGATGCAGGGCCTGTGAACTACTGGGCCCTCATGGATTTTCATTATGCCTCTCCACCATTCGACCCTGCCACCCATAGAGCGTTTTACTTCCATTCAGACATCAGAGCCCTCAGTAAATGGGCTGGGAGAGGTGAAGCAATTTGCTCAAGGTCACAAGGCTAGTGGCTTCTCGAGCTGGGATCGCGCCCGGGGCCTCCTGGCTTGCAGTCCAGCAGCCTCCCCAGGCAATGGAGTGGCATAGTTTCAGAACGTGGGTTTTAGGGTCAGACTGTGGGTTCTGGGGTCAGACTACTTAAGCTTGTATCCCGGCTCCACCACTTCCCGGCTGTGTGATTTTGGGTAGGTGACTTCACCTCTCTGAATCTCCATTTCCTTATCTGGCTCAATGGGATACTCATAGGATTGCTATGACAATAAAACGAGATAATCCAGGTAAAGTGCAAGAAGCAAGCGCTGAAGAAGTTTTTTGTTATTACAATCGAGAGCTATCTCCAGGTGCCGGAATGACAGGGAAAAACCTCTTGTGGAACCTGTCATACTCAGCAGCAGAGAGACGTGAAGACCAGAGGTAAACAGGACTGTGATGTGAGACTCAAAGTCCACCAGGGCAGGAGGAACTACTGTGTTTGCCTTTAAATTGTCTCCAGAGAGGAAATCATTGTCAGCAGGTCGCCTGCCAGACTTAGGAAATTATAAAAGTTGTTTTAAAGTTTCAAAAGAGCCCAAGGACTTTGTTTTCAAACGTTAAATTGGAAAAGGTTGTTATATATACAATAAAAAAATTTTTTAAATACTATTTTCACATTCACACCCAAAATTGTGATACATGGACATATATATGTTTATGCTCTGAGACACCTATACACGCTTATTTGAACACTCAGTACACACTCTCACACACACACCCTCTAGGGCCCAGGGGCGCGCAGCCCTACCCGGCCCTCCTCCATCCCCCCTCACCTATCCCGGGCTCCGGCATCCTCCGGGGTCTCCTTCCCCCTGTGCTCCCTCCAGCCCCCCAGCCCGGCCAGGAAGTGGGCCAGGCGGGCTCCAAGGCCCCCGCGCCCTTCGGCCATGGCGAGGACACGGCCCGGGCCGTCAGGGCATCTGACCTCTCCGGACCTCGTGGGTCACCCGGATCCGCTGCGTTGGCGGAGAAACACCTCCTCCCGCCCGCCCCCCTGAGCAAACAGCTGCCCCGCCCGCGGCCCGTGCGGGCGGGCGCCTGACCCAGCTGCTGCCGGTGTCCAGGGCCGGGGGTGCGCTCTGCGAGGGGCAGCCCTCCACCCCAGAGGGAGGCCCCGAGATGTGCGCCTGAGCCCGCGCCCGCTAGAGCCCCACCAGTCCGCGCTAGTTCAGGCCTCTGCAGGTGCTGGGAGCCAGCGGGGTGCAAGCAGTCCCCGGCAAGACCTGCGTGAGGAGGTGAGGCGGCGGAGACAGAAGAGCCTGGGACAACTGGTGGTGCTGGCGAAGGGGCTCCTTCCGAGGAGGGGCCAGAAATCAGTGGCGGGAATGGGCGTGGTCTCTGTCGACTAGGTGGGCCTAACCCTACTGTGGGACTGGAAATAGGCAGGAAGGTAATCAGGATAAGTGACCAAGTGGGACCTTCTTCATATTTGGCAGTTTTGTGGCCTGGAGACCAGTCCCCACTAGGGAGGCCGATTGTCCTCCCTGTAGCTGTGCTCTTCATTCAGCTGCCTTTGGAAGTATATGAGGACATCCTGAAGAGGAGAAGTCTTCATAGAACAGCAGATCTGGAAGAGAGCATTTAGTCCAGTGCCCCCATTTTACAGATGGAGAAACTGAGACCCTGAGACAAAATGGGTCAGACAGCAAGGCAGCAGCCAGGATTGTAACCTGGGCCTCTTGTCTCCCAGGCAATTCCCTTTCCCACCTAATGCTACTACTCTGATTCATAAGTGGGGTGGGAGGAGTGGAGAACATCTTGCACATTGAGGGGATCCTCTGAGACTTCAGAAAGCAAGACCATCAGGAGAATCCCAATTCCCCATGTCTCTTAGCCAGGTCTTCCCTGTCTAGTCCCTCTAGGGCCTCCGTCCTTTCCCTGAGCTCTGCACCACCTTGCCCTTTGCCCCATGTGGTGACTGGACCCGGCACACAGAGTGATGATATGCTTCTGCGTCATGAGCGAACATTAGCATTCTTGTGTCTCCTTCCTCTCCACCCCTGCAGGGGGCTCAGATCCTGGCATGTGCAGAGAGAGGCACACGCCCCAGCTGATCAAGGCAGGGCTACCAGCTGAGAAGGCCTTGTGGCCTAGCAGGAACAGTGGCTGTGAGACCAGGAGGTGGTGGGAAGCAGCAGAGAAACATCTGGACAGGTGGCTGGAACATCTGTCCAGAAGAGGGCACGGTGCCCTGTGCTTGGCAGCACAGTCTGCAGCTTGCAGAGTTCTGGAGAGCTGGACTTCCCATTGGCGAGTTTGGTCCCAGGCAGGCCCTAGACAAGCAGCGGAACCCAAACCCAGCCTTGACTAAGCTGGATGCTGGCACCCACCCTGTGCATGGGCAACACAAGCTCTGCTTGGCTGTGTCCCCTGAGTTGCTCCCAGGTGGCGTGTGAGGTTTGGCAAATACACGGTGGCTTCCCCCTCCACTGTTGAAACTCAAGAGGCCTCAACTCATCATAGAGAAAATTCTTTAATTTCTCAGCCCCTGCCCCCTCCCCAGAGCTGTCCTGGCACCACAGTTTAGGCTGGCTGTCCTTGCTTTCTCTGGGGTGCCGAGGACACCTTGTCCTTATCCATGTCCCAGCCCACCTTTCTCTCTGACGGCACCGCCAGAAGATCTAGTGCCCGCCTTTGCCAGCCCGCCAAATAGGTGAGGGAGGCCAGGGGCAGGTGGGCGTGAGTGAGGCTGCAGGGCTGTGGGGTGTGCAGCCGATGGTGCAGCTTCAGGTGAACATGCTGGGTGAAGCGACTTGGGCAGCCGCTGCACTGAAAGGGCCGGGCCCCCGAGTGCAGGCGCAGGTGAGTCTTGAGGTTGCTGGAGCTGCTGAAGCGCTTGTAGCACAGCTGATGGGAACAGACAGAGGTGTCATCTCTGTCCTACCATCTGGCTCAGGATCTCAGCTCCCCTCTCCATCTTGGTAACAGCCCCATCCACCTTTGTCAGTGAAGGCCCAAGAGCTTTCACCCACTGATTTCTCCCTGAGGCCTACAGTGGCTGGCACATTGGAGTCCAGCAGACCAAGTGTGGTATCCTGGTTCTTTGACTCCCTGTGTGACCTTGTATAAGTGACACCTCCTCTCTGACCCTTCTTCTCCTTACTGATAACAAATGACTAATACCTAACCTCGTAAGTATGGTGGACTGAATGAGATCATCACATAGAATCCTTAGACCAGTTTGTGGGGCTGCAGCATCAGTGAACGTAAATAACATTATGTCCATAATTAACTGGGTGTTGCCACATCCAAGCATTGCTCACCCCAATGTACATCTATGGTCTCATGTAGCCTGCCCCAGGACCCTATGACTAAGTACTAGTACAACTCCTGATTCCAGCGAGAAAGCGGAGGCTCAGAGGAGTGAGGCCAGCAGCCCAAAGTCACACAGCAAGTCAGAGGCCAAGCTAGGATTTGAACCCAGGCAGCCTGACTCTGCAGCTCAGACTCATAACCACTACAGCGCCTTCATTTCCACCTCTGTAAAACAGGGATAGAATCCCTGCCCTTCTGACCTCGCAGGGTTGTGGTAAGGCTCAAAGCGGGAGGGAGCTGACGTTGATCTAAGGGTCTTTCCACTTGGTACTTTGCGTACACTATGACATCAACCCTTTCAGAACCCTGGGGTAGGTAATGGGTATCCTCTCCCCAGGGACCACCCCCCCACCAACTTCCCCTGACAGACATACATCTCTATTCCCCCTCTAGGCCCTGGGAGTGACCTCCAATATCTCATCCCAGCACCTCCAGGCTGAGAGGGGTAATTTTCACCTCTCCACCCCCACCCCCTTCCTGCCTCCACTTGTGCAGGAGGACTGGGGGTGGAGGCTACAGGTGCCCTCACTCCAGGGGCCTAGAACTCCTCAGCAGCTGTGGGAGCACAGGGGAGGGGAGTAAGGTCTCACCGGGCACTCGTGGGGCCGTTCCCCGGTGTGCACCAGGTGGTGCTTCTGCAGGTGGGCAAGCTGGGTGAAGCTCTTCTTGCACGCGGCACACTGGAACGGGCGCTCCCCGCTGTGCACGCGCAGGTGGACCTGAGGCAGGTGTAGGCGAAATGCTGCTAACTGCCCAGAACACCCCAGCAGGGCCGGAATCCTCCCCGAATCTCTGCCCAAGTCCCCACAGGACGGCTTTGGGACATCAAAGCCTCTCTATTCCCTTTCCTCTCTATCACTCCACTCAGGGCCTCGCTACCATCCACCAGGGCACCCTACTCTTTCTGCAGCCCTGTGGGAGAGGAAATAGCAATGGTCAGAAAGCCAGGTAAAAAGCACCCTGGGTGTATCCTGGAGCAGTGCTACTCAAAGTGTGGTCTACAGGTCAGCAGCATCTGCGTCACCTGGGAGCTTGTTAGAAATGCAGATTCTCAGGCCCAACCCCTGACCTGCTTAATCAAAATCTCGGAGTGGGGCTCAGGAACCTGCATGTTTACTACATTTCCAGGTCGTCTGAAGCTTATTAAAGTTGAAGACTCCAAAAGGATCCATTAGGGTTAAGTCTCCCAATAACCATAATTTTTCCTCTACTTCGGTGGGTACCAACTTGCACACAGCTCCTTCGCTTTGCTAACACACAGAGATATGCCCATGTTCGACCCCTGCTGGGTGATGCGGATGATGATGCCCACAGCACAGGTGCTGATTTGTAGGATCCCACTTGAAAAAGGTTGGTTGTCAGGTCAGTGGTCTAGACTCACTAAAACCTACTCAGTCCCCCATCTAACTTTCAATAAAGTAAAGAATATACTTGGCTGTGAATCCAGAAAGGATGGCTGTTGAGGAAAGGGCTTTGCCCTAGACCTTGGGAGACTGAGGTAAAGGCCTAACCCCACTATTATATCAAAGTAACCTTGGACAAATCCTTCCCATTAGGATCCTCAGTTTCCCCATTTTAACTTAAATGAGATGATCTCATAGACAGCCTTTTTGGGGTGGAGAAGACGCTTTGTGGCCGTCTTATCCTACATCCCCTCTCTACAGATGAGGAAACTGGAGCCCCAGAGGGGCCAAATGAACCATCCAAGGTCACATAGCCTGCAAGGCTACCCAGGAGTTCCTTATGGCTTTAAGGTCCCTGATTCTAAGAACAGGACTGGGAGGAGGGTGAGGGGTCATTGAAGGGTGCTGAGGGGAGCAGCCGCACCCAGGAGACAAATACCTTGAGGTTGGAGAGCTGCCCAAATCTCTTGCTGCACACGTTGCACTCATACAGGATTTTGCCATTCTGTTTCTTCAAAGGGTAGGGCAGGGCTGCAGTGCCCACTCGGGAGCCCAGTGGAGCCCGCTTTGCAGGAGCCACCACACCAGCCTGCTGCAGCCCTAAGGAACAGGTCTGGGCAGCTCTAGGGCCTGGATTCCAGGCTTGGGAGGGCGGGGCTTGGCCAGAGGCTTCGAAGGCCCCTGGACTGGGAAGCAGGGTCTCCCCCCAGGTGTTGTGGTGCCCAGGCTCATTTGCAGTCATCAGCAAGCTGGGCACAGCCATGGTGGAGCAGGAGGTGCCTTGGGGCAGCATGAAGAGGTGGGGGTACTGGACAGAAGGGGGGGCCCCGTAGGGGAACAGATAAGGTGGAGGCAGAAGAAGTAGGTACGCAGGGTAGAAGGGGTGGAGGTGGAATGGGAGCTCCTTGGAGGTGGGGGTGGGAGAGGGGCAGGGACAGAAAGCCAAGGGGCTGGGGCTCTTTCTGTTCTGCCAGGGGATTGGGGAAGAGCTGTTACAGGGCGGGGAGGATGGGCAGGAGGCCCCTTCGCCATCTCTTTCCAGCTGATTTCCCATCTTTTCCCTGCTCGGAGGGTACTTGGCTGTGAGTTTCTTGTCATCAGTGGAGCTGGCCTGCAGCTGTGGTGGCTGGCGCTCTGAGCAGGAAAGGGAAGACAGGTCAGGGCACCGCAGGTTGGGTCAGGCTCTGCTCCCCATCAAACCTGCCCAGCTTGGCTTGGGCAAGAACGCTTCACCTCTCTGGGATTCAGTTTCCTGGTCTGTAATTGCACTGCTAGCATTTCTGTTGTGCTTAGCAATTTCAGGGAAAGGAAAGATTTGAGAAGCCTATTAGACATCCAGATGGAGAAGTCAAATCGGCAGCTGGATGGATTTTTTTTCTTTAATGTATACATATTTATTTGAAAGCTTCTTAAATACATTAATCAGTCTTTATCAAGAGAGTAAGAACCATTGGAAAGCTTAAATACATACAGGCTCAAGCCTCATTCCCAGAGATTCTAATTCAGTTGGCCTGGTTTGGAGTCCAGATATCAGAATGGACAGATTTGTTTGGAGTTTAAGGGGGAGGTTTGAGCTGAAGACATAAATTTGGGTGCCATGGGTCTGGATGAGATCACATAGATCTGCTCTGTCCAGAATGGTAGCCACTAGCCACATGTGACTGTTTAGATTTAAATTAATTAAAATAAGTGCAATAAAAAATTCAGTTCCTAGGTTAAGATAGTACACAATACTGGGGAAGACAGCACAACGGTCTTACACCTTCGGGAGCAAGGAAGAAGGAAGAAAACTAAAGATACAAGGGAAAAATTAGTCCAAAGGACTAATGGACCACAACTACCACAGCCTCCACCAGACTGAGTCCAGTACAACTAGACAGTCCCGGCTACCACCACCGACTGCTCTGACAGGGATCACAACAGAGGGTCCTGGACAGAGCTGGAGAAAAATGTAGAACAACATTCTAACTCACAAAAAAAGACCAGACTTACTGGCCTGACGGAGACTGGAGAAACCCCGAGAGTATGGCCCCCGGACACCCTTTTAGCTCAGTACTGAAGTCACTCCTGAGGTTCACCCTTCATCCAAAGATTAGACAGCCCCATAAAACAAAGTGAGACTAAAGGGGCACACCAGCCCAAGGACAAGGACTAGAAGGCAGGAGGGGACAGGAAAGCTGGTAATAGGAACCCAAGGTTAAGAAGGGAGAGTGTTGACATGTTGTGGGGTTGTTAACCGATGGCATAAAACAATATGTGTACCAACTGTTTAATGAGAAGCTACTTTGTCTGTCAACTTTCATCTAAAGTACAATTTTTTTGAAAAAAGGTTAACATGAAAAAAAAAATCACTTCCTCAGTCACACTAGGAAGTAAATCCCACAGGTACAGTACTGGATAGTGCAGGTATAGAATGTTTCCATCATGGCAGAAAGTTCTATCAAACAGCACTACTCTAGAAAAGGGAAGAGAAGAGAAGGCTCTGGCCTGAGTTCTGGAGCACGCTAATATTCAGGAGGTAAGTAGAAGAGGAGGAGTCAGCAAGGAGACTGAGATAGGACAGCCACTGAGGTGGGAGTAAAACCAGGAATGATATAAAGTAAAATTCTAAAAATAAAAGAATACTAAGAAGCAGATCCATAAACAGTGTGTCTCACTGGATCCTCATTTAGTCATGCAACCAACTTTACTGAGCTGTTCCGCTCTGTGCTCTGTGCTGGGGTCCCAGAAATAAAGGACACCGAAGGACAGTCCCTGCCCTCTGGGAGGTCACAGTTGCATGAGAAAATGGCATATCACGATACAACAAACCCTGGAACATGGGCTTAGGTGAGATACTACTCTTACAGATGAAGAAACTGAAGCCCAGAAAAGTGTAGTGTTGTATCCAAGGTCATAGAGCTAGAAAGGGCAGAACCTGGATCCCACCTCAATTCCCTGACTCCCAGTTCAGTGGCCTTATAATACGATCCCCTCTAACTCAAACATTCTAAGCAGACAAAGTGCCATCCCGACCCTCATGACCAGTTATACCTGCACCAGCTCCTATACCATGCCTGAGAAAGCCACTGCCCACCCCCTCGGGAGCAGATGTCACCACCTCGAAAGCCCTCTGCACCCCCAGGCCAGAACCCCAGGCCAAAACATGAAAATAAAGTGTGCCTGAGGCTCTGTCCTCACTAGTGACAGAGTCCCCTCCCCCTCCCATCCCTAGAGCTAATAGTGCCTCCCACCTCCAGCTGCACCAAGGTGCAGCCCCGTGCCCTGGGCTTACTCATGCTCAAGGCGTCGTCTCTGAGACTTTGCAGGGCTGTGCCCAGGGGTGCCGGCTGCAGGGTGCACAGGTATAGGTCCAGGCCCTGGGGACAGGCCAGCAGGGCAGACCTGGCCGGAGCCAGTGGCAAGGGGCACAGCCAGCTGGCACAGGATGGGCCATGGGTATTCACCGTATTTGGTTCTGGCAGTGGCCTGAAGGCTGAGGAAACCTGGAGGGCAGGGGGCAGGGGGCAAGGGGCTTGGGGGCTGGTGGCTGCAACTTCTGGGTCCCTGGGATGGTACACCTTTGGCTTGGTTTCCAAAGGGGGAGGAGAAGCTAAATCCCCACCACCACCACTATGTCTATCACCCTTCCCCAATCCAAAGACTTCTCTCTCCAAGGACTTTCTCACCCCTACCAAGAATTTCATGCCTCTTCCCTTCAGGACCCCTCATCTAGCCCTGTCCCATCCCCCATCATTCCTGACTACCCTGCTCCCACTAAGTCTCAGATCATCTACAGTGATTTGAATGGAGCCAAGGTGAACTTGGGGAAAATTCTCATTCAAGACTGTAAATCCCACAGGATGGTCCTGAGCCCCCCTCCCACCAAGGCCATGGTCATACCAGCCAAGCCTTCTGTGTGGCCCTGCCCCTTCTCATTCCTCAGAGGAGAGTCTGGGCACCTGGGGCATCGGAGAGGGTCTCTGTCATCTCAAGGGCACATCCCCATGATGTGCCTGGGATAGTGGGTGCTCAGGACCAGGGGAGAATGAGGCTCCATGCCCCTTCAGACATTCCCCACTTCTAGCCTCCCTCGTACCACAAGCAGGCTGGCCTCAAAGAGAAGGCAGAGACCCCTCCTTACCTGGTCGCCTTGGCAGAACTGGAAGTCCAGACTGGGGGACAGAGAGCTCCCTGTGTCCCTTAGGTGCTTGGGCTTGTGACAACAATCCGGTTCTAGAGCTGGTTCCCCCTTCATGCCCCCACTACCTGCTGGAAAGACAGTGACAGGTGAGCAGTGAAGGTCCTCCATATAGGAGACCTGGGTTCTAGGGCCACCTCTCCCACTAAGATGCTGTGCGACCTCGGACCAGTCACTTCCCTTCCTGGCTTCAGTTTCCCTATCTGCAAAATGGAAGAGTTGAATTGCTTTATGTGCAGACTCTCAGTGCTGACATTTAGAAGCCAATGATGCTCTTCTGGTAGGTGCAGAAAGGGGATGGACTGGAGACTAGTCAATCAGAGGTGAGGCGCTGGCCTGAGCCTCAACCCTGGAGGAACCAAGAAAGGAAGGTCCTCATGGGGGTTACTTCCAAGTGAGCTCAGAGATCTGAGGGAGCATTCCAGATTTCTTCAGGGCTACAGGAAATTGAGAAACTACCTCTTTCCATTCTGGAAGAAGTCTATGACTCTACCATTCAAAGGCTCCCCACTAAGAGGAACCCCAGTGTCTTGCCACCCAGACTGCCTCAGGTTTAGCTCTCTCACCAGGGATAAGGCCTGGGAGAGTGGGCCAAGACTTCCCAGGTGCCCCTGACTGCCCCTCTCACTGACCAGGAAACCACCCTGAGTTCTCAGCTGTCTGCTCATTTAGCATGTCACTTCTCTGTCATCTTTCATTTAAGGCCGTAGAGCACAGGGATTTCCTCAGATCTACAAATATCCCAAGACTCCTTCCCCTCCTCCTCAGCAATCACCGTTTTCTCCTTAGCCCCCAATGCCCCTCACGCTTAGCATCCTCTCACTCCAGTGTCTCAGCCCTCCAAAATCCCTTCTTCTTTCCCTCTTGCCTGACTGCTGCCAGTGCTGGCTCAAGTCTCAAAACAAACACCAAGACCGTAAAAGAGTCGACTATATAAGGCTCTTCACCTGATTCTGCAGCAGTCCTCTTTGGCCAGAGAAAGAAGGAGGGTGGGCAGGTGGGCAGCAGCTGCCTATGACTGAGGCCCGAGTGGGTGTGAGAGGTGACAGGAAGATGCTTCGTTTGAAGTTACCACAAATAGAAAGGAAGAGAGGGGTGGGTAGACAGGCTCGGGGGCCCTGCGAGTCTTAACAAAGAGGAGCTGCCTATCCAGCCTTTACCTACCTGTGGCAACTCTACAGGACAACTTGCTGCTTTCTGGACTGCAGTGAACTGAGGCAACTGGAATTTCTGTGTGTGTGTGTGTGTGTGTGTGTGTGTGTGTGTGTGTGTGTGTGTAGTGGGGGAATGAGAAATATCTCTGGTTATCAGAGAGCCCAGATAGCTGAGCAGGAAAGGGACAGAGCAGGGCTCAAAGGCTGGAGCTGGGGTCCTTCTGGGGATGTGGACCAAGCTGAGATAGAGGCAGATAGTGATGAAGACAGGGAAGACATGATGGTGATAAGTGGGGACAGGAACAGGCAGAGATGGTTGCAGACAGGGACAGGAACAGGTCTAGACAAGAACAGACAACATAGAAGAATTTGGAGTGAGACCAAGAACAGAACAGGGATCTGATGTCACAGAGCAGAGGCCAGGATACAACCTCTTCCTCCTTATTGTTCCATCTCTGATTTCCCTATCCTCTTCTGTCGTCGAACCCAAGGAGAAAACAGAGGCCCAGAGAGGGCAAGAGATAATTCAAGGATACATCTAGATGACTGTAAGGCATGACTAGATGTCTCAAAAGGGAGGCCTCACAGGCCAGGAAGTGGCTTCTTAGGCCCCATTATTCATTTGAGCAGGAGAAGGTGCATCACCCCCAAGGCCACACACAATTCCTACACAGTGTGTCCAAGTCCCACAGCCCCAGTGTGACACAGCGCCCGTCCTCAAACTCCACCCCAGTGGCCTGGAACACACAGGGATATCTCAGACTCTCCACCTTGGCCAAACAAAAAACCAAACCCACTGCCATTGGGTCGATTCTGACTCATAGCGACCCCATAGGGTTTCTAAGGCTGTAAATCTCTACGGAAGCAGACTGCCACATCTTTCTCCCACAGAGCCGATGGTGGTTTCGAACCACCAACCTTTTGGTTAGCAATCGATTGCTTTAACCACTGCGCCACCAGGGCTCCTCCACCTTGGGCAAGAGGCATGATATTGATGCTTCCCTGTCAGCTCAGCCCCTGGAGCTAGTCCTCACCTCCACTGTGGCCTCCATTACTTCCTATCATAACTATTTGTCCACATAACTGACCCCTACATATCTGTATCTCAAGGACAGGAACCACTGTGTACTCATCTTTGTATCTTGCGTAGACATTTGTAGGATTTTTGGATGCCCAGCGTCTGGACCTTTCTCTTACACAGAATCTTGAAGGAAGCAGAGGGCATCTCCCACTGTGAAAGCCAAGATGGCCAGATGTTTCATTCTGATCTCCCTTCCCCCAGTACACCATGTGGGCATGTGACATGGACTAAGCCAGTCCAATATCTCTGACCAGATTGTGGATCAGAAGTCAGTGGTCCTAAGAAGCAGGCCAGTGGAGCCTCCACTATGAAAGTGGTGGTGGGGCTGCATCTGGCTCCCAGGGCAGCAGAAGAAAGGAAAGAGTCCAGACGCAGCCACAGAGTTCTTGCTGGACTGGTCCTGGGGTGTGATTCTGGATGTGGTCTTGGCTGCTCCCAATCTCCCTTAATCCAGCCCATTCTCTATGCCTGGCTCTATGGCCTTCCCAGACTTTCTATGAACTCCTCCAACATGTATTCAATACATTCCTTTTCTGCTTAAATCCTCTGGAACTGGTTTCTACAGCTTACAAATAAGAATGCTGCCTTACACATGCCCAGAATAGACAGATGAAGCAACGGGGCTCAGCATGAAATATTCCAAGGATCATAAGTAAAGATTACTTCTTGTGTGCCTGGCACTGTACTAAGGGCTTTATAAGCTTTAGCTCATTTAATCTTCACCTCAAACCTGTGTGGTTGGTTCTATTGTTCCCATGATGAAGCAACAGAAGCTCAGAGAGAATAAGCAATTGACCAAGAACCATACAGCAAGTAGCCAAAGGCTCTCTAGTGTCAAACTTCAGACTCCACTGTCTCTTGGCAATGCCAGCTCATCCTACTACCACACCCACTACCTCATTTCTGACTCTCACGCTTCCTCTTCCAGTGTATCATTCCCAATGCCTAGAAGAAGCCTCCCCAGCCTTCCTCTGCTTTCCCAGCTGCCTTCCCCTTATCCTTCAGATTAATGGAGGGGCTCCCCTCCATCAGCATGCAAATGGACAGCACCTCTTGCAGTCTTGATCCCCCGAGGCTCCACTCCCCAAAAGCTAAAGCCCTCCCAGACTCCCAGGCCACAAGCCTGCCTCCCCTACAGCCTTGCTGGGAATCCCAGGGGCATGAGGGCCTAGTTGAGCACCCAAGGAAGATCCCACCCACACTTCCAAAGAGAATCTGCACACACCTTCGGGTTCCATCTGCCAGCTCCACCCCCTCCTGGCATAACTGTCTGCTCCTAACTCTCAGACACGCCTATACAATTCCTTGGTTAGAAAAAGGGAAATGGCCTTGGAGATTTCCAGGTCTCCAATCCCTGAAAGTCCCCTGGCTTGGCTAGTAAATCCTGAGAGGTGGACTAAGAAATGGTCCCTCAAGTTCCCACCAGAAACAGCCTCTACCCCTTTCTTGCTCCCACCTCCTGGACCCTTGCCGGGTCCTCTGTCCTGTCAGCCTCCAGGTCCACTGTGATGTCACAGGCCCAAATGTGATGTCACCACAGTGGGTGGTACCATAGCCTCCTAACCAGGGAATCTAAGCAAATGCCTGGACCCAGACAAGAGACCCAGACCAAAGAAAGTCCTTGATGACCAGAGTGGATTGGGAAGTGTTCATGGAGGGGAAGCAGGATTGAGCTGCCCCCAGGGGTGAGTGGGAGACTTCAGGGAGGTCTCTGACAAGAAGGGGCATCTGGGACAGACGATAAGAGCTAGAGGGGTGTCCAGGGGTCCTCAGGCTCCTGGTGCTCATCGCACACTTACTTTTTACTTCTTTTTTTAATTACAGAGTAACACATACTAGTGGCAAACATTTCACACAACATAAAATACAAAAATTTAAAAATAGAAGCTTTCCCTCCTTCACAGTTTCCCAGGGGTCAGTGTGAACTGTTTGATATATATCCTTCCAGACATTTTTCTACAACCTACAAACAGGTAAGTGGCCTTCTAAAATTTTGTTTTTACTTAAAAATGGGATTATACAATGCATATTGTTCTGCTGCTTTTTCTACCCAGCAATCTACTGTGGTCATCATTTCATGCAGGAACATACATATCTATGGCCTGCTTTTTCCTGACTATATAGTGTTTCATTACAGGGATGCACATAATATGTAGCATTCCCCTATTAGACTCTCATTTTTCCCTATTCCACACATGCTGGGAAGGAAGTCCACAGAGACAGTATGCAGAGTAGTTAAGAATATGAGCTCCGCTGGATTTGAATCCTGGCTGTGTGAGGGTAAGGCAAGTCACTTAACCTCTCTGTGCGTCTTTCCTCATTTGTCAAGTGGAGGTAATAATAAAAAAATAATAATAATAAAATAGTTGCTGTTGAGTCGATTTTGACTCATGGTGACCTCGTATGTGTTAGAGTAGAACTGTGCGCCACAGAGTTCTCACGGCTGGTTTTTAAATACATCCCCAGGTCATTGTTTCAAGGCACCTCTGGGAGGACTCAAACCTCCAACCTTTCAGTTAGCTATCAAGTGTGTTAACTGTTTGCATTCCCCAGGGATTCTCAGGGATAATAGTGCTTACCTTATACGATTGTTTTGAGGATTCCTCAAGATAATTCATATAAAGCCCTTTGTGTCTGGCATAAAGCAAGCACTTGACAAATGTGGGCTAGTACAATAAAACCTACAAAAGCCGAAACCTGTGTAAGGTGGGAACCTATCAGAGAAGGAAAACTCAGATATTTTCCACTAAAAGAGAGCAATAGAAAAGTGGTAAGACTGCACCCTGTCAATGACAGAAAACCTGCAAGACCCAGAAAAACAAGGCAATCCTATTGAGTTCCGGCTGTTACAGGGTTCACTGTATTAACCTTGTACATCAACCTTTGCCTGGTTAGGCAAGTTTCTGCAAGTCAGCTTCCTAACAGTGTTCAAATTGTGATGGGTATTCCTGGCCCGCATTGCAAGCCCAGCACCCTTGAATGGATTAACTACATTCAGTTGTATTGCTTTATTCACTAATCCCTAGTTGGGGACCCCTGCCCTCATCCAGTGAAGTCTTGCCCACCCCAGTCTACACACCCCAATAATAGTAGCTCTCAGCATTTGAGCTCTCACGTGTGATAGGAACTGCACAAAGCACTTTGACGTGCTTCGTTTCACTCAACCAGCACAGCAACCCCATAAGGTGGATGCCATTATTCCCATTTTAGAGATGAGAAAACTGACTCAGAGAAGGAAAAGACTTGCTCAAGATCACAGGATCCAAGTTAGGGCTGCAGAGTCCCAGAGGGGGAGAGCTTAGGGGAGAATTGCTGGAGGGTGGCCTATGTAGGAAGGGCCACAAATGAGGCACAATAGAAAAATCCTCCAGAAAACCTTCCAGAAAAATCACGATGGCCAGAGGCCTCAGTTAAGGATTGGGGAACTGCTGCAGAATTAGCATCTGGTACCCTGAAAGCACCCCAAGAATCTGTCACTCATTAATTCACTCATTCATTAACTCAGTCACATATTTCTTAATCGTCTACTGTGGATGAGGCATTGGGCTAGTTGCTAGTTGCTGGGGATATAGCAGTGAACATGACCCTGGAATTTACATTTTGCCGTCCAGCAAGCCTTCTGCTAGAAATATAATATGTTGTTGCTGAAATATAAAGTGATCTGCAAACATCAGCGTTTATTATTATCAGAGTAGGGGTTTGGAGAGCAAAGTAGAGCCAGGAGGTCAGGCTGGCCCATGCAGTAAGAAAGAGAGGCAATGGAACCACAATCAGAAGCCCACTTCCTCCCTGAAAACCTCAA